TGTAAAATGATATACGTAGTAAAATATTAATTTGAAACAAATGTACCACTTGATTTTGTAGATGTTGATATTTTTAGTTTACTATTAAGTGATGTTTTAACATTTTTAAAATAGTGATGTTTTGTATTTACACAAATTTTTGTTTTCTTCATCATTTATTAATACTACTAGATGAATTCCCACGCTACGCGTGGGTTTGTTTTGAAAATTGTTAAAATAAAAATGTGTTAATTATTTTTGTTGCTAATTTGTGTTTATTTTTTTGTTTGTTATTGTATACTTAATAAAATTAAACTCATCTTATGTACTTAAAATATTTATTGTTAGATTCGTTTTTGACTCTAAATATCTAATTATACATTTTCATGTATAATCTGATTATTTTTATATCTAAAATTCTAGTATTTGTTCATTATCATGAATCCCCACAACAAGAATATAAGATATTTTTCTCTCAAGAGTACTTTTCGTATGAAAAGAAGAAAAAGAAAGCAAAAATTAAAGAGTTATTTAAGTAATACTTTTAGATTTTATGCTATTGCATATAGCCATATAAGAGAAATAGATTTGTCTTGAATTTCGTGGTATGTCTAACGTCTCAAAGCCTATTACTTGTAAAATTTTGCAAGTTAATGTTACGAACTTACCATAAGATACAAAAATGAAAAGAGAAAATGTCATATGATAAGATATGAACCATAACGTAATAATAAAAAAATATTAAAGGTAAAAATACTAAACTAATAAGATATTAGGTAGCAAACAACTAAACTACAACACAAATAATTATTTAGTCATTATCGAGTGATGACCATTGACTATTAAATTAAAAAAAAATAGAAATATAATAAAAGTAAAATGAAAGTAGTAATTGATTTATTAAAATAATTTTATACTTTTATTTTTATTTTGAAGAAATCATTTAAGAAATGGATTATTGGAGGATTTAACACAATAGGAGACTTTTGATTTTCTTTCAATTAATTTTGCTGATTTTTAATTTAACTAATATTGAATGACACATGTCATTTACTTGTGTGATGATGTCTCATTCATATGGAGAGAGTTGGCCAACTTTTATATATATGATTTCTAAACTTGAAAGCTACCATTAATGCCGGTGGTATGTATGACATAATCTCACTCTTGTTCTCTTTACAATTGCTAAAACAGTCTACTACTAATTGCACAAAAAATGTTCTTACGTAAAAAAAGTTCATATCTTTATAATTTTCAATAAGTAAGCTTGAATCGATCAAAATCGTCCAATAAATAGTTTTTTTTTTCTAGTAACCATCTCGCTTTGCCAGTTTCAGGTGACGATCTTCAAATAACCTCTCGTTGCAGAGGACGATCTTCATTTAGGTAGTTTTTCTTGCCAATTTTTTTTTTCCCAGAAGATCATCCCCATCAATTGTAGGGGACGATCTTCATCTAGGTAGTTTTTCAACGTGCATGTTATTTGCCATATATCTTCTGGTGTTATATGTATTTTTTTGCTTGGATAGGGACAACAACATTCCTGCTGACATTTCTGCTGATCGAGCTGCTGTTGCAGTTTTGTTTGAGGAGTGGTTGGCTCTAGATGAGTCAACGAAGATCCGGCACACTATGGAAGCTTCTTTTCGCCACACTATGGAAGTTTTTAGCTACTTAATAGGGCACTTACCTACTTGATCTTTTTTCTTTTTTCAACATACTGGTGTTATATGTCCTTCTTGTCAAACTCGTGTGATCCGCTGGTCTAGTGTTAGGAGCACTAGGTGAGTACCCGCACTACGTGCGGGCTTTCACTTTAGATTTCATAATTATAAGTATATAAATGTAAACATTAGGTTAGTTTTTGTTAATAGGCAAGAAGACAAAATTTCCTTTATAAACGAGATTACCCTGATACTAAACATATAAATCTACTTTTTTTTGCATTTACATTTAGATTCCTAATAAAAAACTGTTCTCACTACATATTATCTTTTTATAATATTCTTTCATTACTGTTATCCTTAAACCAAAAGAAGAAGACAAAATGCAAAGAAAATTGGAGTACCCGCACTAAGATCAATGATCATAGTATTTAGGTAAAGATGTTAAGCATTGATAATTGGGTTGTCGTTTCGTTTGAACAACGATGTTATTAGTTTATAGCAAATAAACAAATAGAACCAAACCTTGATAAGCCTTATTGATTTGTCGAAACATAAATGTAAAATAATTCTCGTCTTTAAATTTTTATCGTTGCCACTTTTGCAAAAACAACTAAAACAATACGAATTCCATCACTGAAGAACTCCATCATTGAGGATTTTAATCCAACAATTTGATGTTAGAGGTTCTGACGTTCTCCTCACCATTAATATATTATATAGAAAAGTTTTTAAGAGAATAACCTACTCAAAAAATTTTAGAGTATGAGGAACCCCAATAAAATAATTATATTGAATAAAAAAAATAATTAAATATAATTAGTATTAATACAATTAAATATGTTAATTTTTATAATATGTATAATTAAATAATATATGTTCCACTAACTTAAATTAATTATTAGTGGACACATGTCAAATGCTAAAGTGATGATGTGTCACTTATATGTAGAGAGTTGGCCAACTTTCATATATATGATTTGGAGTTTAAGACTATTAATTACATATGGATAACAAGGCAAGTTTACAAGTTGTATATATTGGTGTGATTCAACCTATATCTATTTTTGTTCTATAAATGTAAAACTATAGTCTCAAAAAAAGACAGTATTACAAAAATGCATTTTAGAGAGTTGAAGAGTCTAAAGAAGTGAAGTTTACTTCTTTTTTTTTATGGATCGACAAAGTCTGTGCCTTAGCCGATCCCTAGTACACTGGGTAACTAGGCCCGGCCCGGCACAGATTTCTATGATGCATATGTATGGAGCCTCAAAATATAGAGGCCCTTTTTTTTTTTTTTATAATGCTTATAAGGCCTTGAAGATAAGGTTTAAGAGAGAAAACTAGAGTAGATAAGAAGCTTTGTGAATTGTATCGATTTCTTCTACTTGTTTAGTTGATTTTCAAATTCAGATTTTCATATTCATCTGTTATCATCGATTTACGATCAGCTTGGCTTTCTACCAAAGGTAAAAAAAATTTATTTGATTTTAGCATTTTTACAATTACAAATTTACAGTTATGTTCTGTAACACTTTTTGTTTCTTTGTGGTCGTGGAGTTTCAACATTTTTATATTACAAAGATGAAATAAGATTCTAATTATCCTAATTTATATCTTTATATCTTTTAATTTCATAGATATGAAATCAAGACATGAGGATGGAGCTAAAAAACGAAGAAAGAAAAAAAGAGAAGAAAAATTGACAAAATCTCTAGCCAATTCTATGTTCAGATATTTGAAAAAACCAAAATGTTAAAGATTTTATAATGTTTAAAATTTATTTAGTTCAAAAATGATATACGTGGTCAAACATTAACTTGAAACAAATGTACCAATTGATTTTGTAGATATTGATATTTTAGTTTACTATTAAGTGATGTTTTACCATTTTTAAAATAGTGATGTTTTGTATTTATGCAAATTTTTGTTTTTTTCATCATATAATGTTAAAGATTTGTATACTTGAAAAATGATATACGTAGTCAAATATTAACTTGAAACGAATGTACCACTTGATTTTGTAGATGTTGATATTTTTAGTTTACTAGTAAGTGATGTTTTAACATTTTCAAAATAGTTATGTTTTGTATTTATGCAAATTTTTGTTTTCTTCATCATTTATTAATACTATTTGGAGTTTACTATTAATTACGTATGGATAACTAAGCAAGTTTACAAGTTGTCTTAATTGGTGTAGAACTGTAGATCAACCTACACCATTTTTGTTTTGTATAAACGTAAAACTATATTTTAAAAAAAAAGACAGTGTTACAAAAATGCATCTTAGAGAGTTGAAGAGTTTAAAGAAGTGAAGCTTACTTTTACAACCTATACTTATTTTATTTTAATACATAAATTCAACCTATACATACACGTCTTAATTGAAGTAAGTGAAAATGAAAGCAAATAAATTCAAGTCATTCAACAAAAGCTTTTGGAGGAGATTTGACGATTAATTAAATAACAATGTACATAGCTAGGTAACATTATACTTGATTAATTAAAAGTGTGGGTGGTTCTTGAAAATATTTGGAAGAAATCTGATGTATTCTTTATTGACGAGGTCAACGAGATATATACATAAACACTATTGCATTATTGTTTGTTGTAACATACACTCTTATAAATGTCTAGTTAGATACCATAAGAATTTATTTATTTAAATATTATTTTTGTCAACACCATAAGAATTTATATCAAATTTAAGTTAGAACTAAATTTCTTCGTTATAATTTTTTTTTTTCTAGATAAAGAATATCTTTGTTATAGTCTATAGTTTTATACTCATCATCACCACCTTCCTTTCAACACACGGAATCAAACTCCATCAACTCAAAAATAGTAAGAGGAGAAACTGAATTTGAAGATAAAACATAAACTAGATCATTGTATCTTTATTTCTTTTCTACTGCAAATTATTTAAGATATACATTATTCTTATTGTATAATTTGTACTTTTCCTCGTATACATTTTTCTTATTGTACAATTTATACTATTTCACTTTCGAGTTTCGATATATAGATGCATCATCGTGGGTGTAGATCTTTTCTCTCCTTTTCCCCTCACATCTCCTTATGTTCCTCGCGGCCGCTCCTATTACCTCTTGGAAATAGTGATAAATATAAAATCAGCCTTGTAGCTAAAAGTTCTCTCACGAAATCAAGTTTTCTACCAACTTGATGTTAATAATATCTTACGATAAACTTTACATAACCCAACCAGCGGGTTCATTGACAAGGATAATCGCGACGCACTAGATTCTATTAACAAGGAAAAGGAAAATGGATCGTTTTTTAACCCAAAAATGTAGGTTTTGTCACGATAATTTGTTAAATATTAGTCTCCAATTTAAATTTCCTAAAAGTGTTATACTTATCCAAATAGATTGATATTTTAACTAGAAGCACTTAAATCCAAAGTCCTTAAATATTTGCATAATTTACTAAATATGGTTTACTCCTTAAAACTCACCCACAGCAATCACACTTGTTCATCCTCTGATTCAAACTCAATGTGGAAGGGATTATCATCACCATCTTCATCAATAAGTTTATCTTCCTCTCCATCTCGATCCAGCTCCACAAACCAGTCCTCTATATTTTCCTCAGCACCATCTACAAGCACATCGGCATTTTCCTCTTTGATCCTCTTTCGCTTGTTGAACAACTTCGAATTGAATTGCACATAAACTACACTGTTCATTTGATCAGTGTCTAGTCTATTCCTCTCACTTTTGTGAATCTACAACATGAGAGAAGAATTAATTTCGGAGTTAACATTTACCAAATTTAGAAACAAAATCAAAGTTAATACACAAAAGGAGAAACCTCTTCGAATGTACTCCAGTTTCGTTGACAACCAGATGAACTAGAAGTTAAAGAGAGAATCTTCATCGCTAGTGTTTCCAAACTAGGCACAGATACTCCGTATGTTGACCACCAGTGCTCTACATAATCCAATTGCAACATAAGTGGTAGTTTTACAAACTTAAAGTTATAAGAAGTAGATCAAAAGTCGAGAGAAAGACCTGGACCAAACTCGTCGGTATTCTGTTCACATCCTCTTAATGCATAAGGTGTTCCAAAAAAAACATCTTTATCCTGATAAATTCTAAACTCGTCGACAGCTTTATCTTGTTTCTCGAGCTCACCATGGTAAAAAGTCTCAACACAATTGAGAAAGCCAGTCATGAGTGTCCCGTCCAGTTGAATGGTTGGTTCGTTATAGAAGTAAAACGGGTTCAACAAGTAAGCGGTCAAATGTAATGGAGAATCCAACCTACCTTTAATTTTCTCATCGATGATATCTAAGATAGGTTGGTAGTACCTTTCCAAGTTTTTAGTAGCAGCTTTGATAGATCTTTTGGCTTCCACTAATTCTCCATAAATAAACCCCATTGAAGGTTTTTTCTCTCCATCGACCATCCTAAGAACTTTGACCAAAGGCTCCAAAACCTTCACAACTCGTTTGACCCCATCCCAAAACGCAGGACATGTATAGTAGGCACTTCTACCCTTTACATAATTGGAATCTTTGCATTTGTCCCATTCATCACTAACAAACATAAACCTTAATTGCTCTTTCCTCGCCAACAATCTTTGCAAGGTCAAGAAGGTTGTTGCGAATCTTGTGACTCCAGCTCTTACAATATCCCTTTCCTTTGTATGACATCTCATCATAGCTAAGGTCTTTTCATGACCATATATGAACATGGTCACAGCCTTAGCTTTCTCAATGTATTTTGAAATCTTTGGCAACTTAACAATGTCTTCAAGCATCAATTTAACTGTGTCAGCAGCGCATGATGACCAAAATATACCTGGTCTCTTCTCTTTCAACATCTTTGCTGCTGCTAAGTTGTTCTCCGCACTGTCAGTTATTACCTGAACGACCTTCTCAGCACCAACATCCTCTATGCATTTATCAACGTACTCAAAGATAAATTTACCAGTCTGAGGTTCTTTGGAAACCTCTTTCGAAGAAACAAAACATGTCCCTCCTCTTGAATTGACACACAAATTCATTATGTTCTTCTTTGTGTCGCTCCATACATCAATCAATATAGAGCAGCCATTCTGTTCCTGTTCTACCTCTAAGCTCTTCAGTTTTTCCTTAATTATTTCTTCTTCTTCCTCCAACAATGTTTCCCTCAGTTCACACTGGTTCGGAGGAACCCAACCAGGTCCAAATCGCCCTAAAGCTTCACAAAACGACCTAAATGAATCACTCTCAATGACATTAAAAGGAATACCAGACTGATATATCCATCTACCACAAGACTGATGCACTGAACTCATTCTCTCCTCAGAAACCACATCATTAGTGTTTTCTTGTCCTGTTTCGCCACCTAAAGAATCCTCGGTAGTAACGGCCATCACGAACTTATCCATTGGATCTTCATCCGAATCATCCTCTCTATTCTGCTCATAAACCTCCAAACTAAACATATCAGCTTCTCTTTTCATTTTCCTCTTCTTGTTCTTCGCTTCCAAGATCGCTTTCATACATTTAAACTGATCTTCTTTCGTAGACCGTGGACACGAGGAAACATTCCCCTTACGGTGAGCAATATGTTCCTTAATCTTATACACACCTCCTCCCATTTCTTTCCCACACAACTTGCATTTAACTCTATCTGGATTTTTCGAGTCATACAAAATTCCATATTCCCATCTAACATCATTAGAATTCCGCTTCAACAACGAAGCTCCCGGAGAAAAATTCGACGTAGAAGACGAATCCATATCTGCAAAATCTGAATAATTTAAGAAAAAAAAAAAAACAGATCGATATCAAAATTTCAGAACATAATCTCACCAACGAGAGAGTTGCCATCAAATCTCTATTACACAAGATTCAATCGAAACATCAAACGAAATATTTCTGGCACACAGGAGATTTTGAAAATTTCACAGACGAATGACGAATACAGAACAAATCAATGAATAATATAAGCTAACTGGAATAAAAAGTACGTTTAATAATCAACTCACCTGTGACGGAGAAACGCCGGGGGAGATGAAGTTTTGATCAGAGAGTGACGATTAACGGCGAATTAGGGTTCTTAAAATGTGAAACTGTATCGTTTATGACGAGAACCGGGAAATTTTCCCGCGGAAATAAAAAACGGTTTAGTAATTATAATGACGGTTTGGTTAACTAATCTCTTAACCGGTTGATTGGTTTTCAAACCATAAATTAATCGGTAAGCCAAAAAGATATGGTCGAATTATCTTAAACCGGCTGATTGGTTCTCTGCCGAAATTTAGAATATTTAAAACTAGCAATGGAGATCCTCTCTTTGATCAAATGAACAGTCTAGTAGTATATGTGCAATTCAATTTAAAGTTGTTCGACAAGTGATATCTTGTGTTTTTGCTCCTTTTTAAGCTTTGTTTCTCTTGGTTTTTCATCATTTTGCATTCTTGTTTAGGTCCTTAGGTTCATAATTCCATAGCATTTCTTACTTTTAGGTTCTTGGAGTGGAGCATTGAGTTTTAGAAGCAAATGGAGTTAAAAGAAGTGAAGAATCAAAGAATCAAGAGGAGGATGAAAGCAATAGACCAGTTGGTCGATTGACTGGTCGATTGGGACCAAACCAGACCCGCGGACGAGAAGGAATCGAGGAAGCAGTCGACCAATTGGTCGATTGCCAGGTCGATTTACTGGTCGATTGCCTGGTCGATTGGGTACTTAAACCGGGTCAAAATCCGGTTTGTTCCGGGTTGACCCGGTTCGTTTTCTTTTCCTATAAATGTGGCTAAACCTAATTTCTAGATTTCTCATGCTACCTAAGCCTAGTTTTCTTCATTTCTCTTTGTAATCAACTTTAAACCTTTGTGATTCTTGCTTTTATATAAGTATTTCTTTAGATTCAACTTCTATCTATCTCTTATACTCTTCTTCTAACATGAATTTTCAAGGATTAGTATCAACTCCTTGGATTTTCATGGCTTTAAGTGAGTAGTCTTTTTAGAGCTTTTAGGTCAAGTAGATTAGGGTGGTTAGGTGATGATTTGTGATGCTTAGGACTTAGTCTTAATATATCCTTACTCTCTAGGTGCTCTTAGTGCTAGATTAGTCTTGATTAAGCTAGTCTAGATCATAGGAAGTTTCATGCCCGGAAGGTGTTCGATGAAATTCTCGAAAGAACTTAGTGAGTGCTTAGCATTCCTAGCCAATGGAAATTGATGATTAGGGTGCTAGGTGGTTAGTAAGACTTGAAATTAATGCATATTAGTCTTGTGATTGCCAATGGAAATTGATGTTAATTGCTTGATTAATGTAGAGTTATTGCCATGGAAGTGGATTAGCTTAAATTAGTGATCTTAGACCTAAGGATTAGCAAATAATTGATTGTATTAGCATCATAGATTATCCTTTGACCACCCAAGTCAATAACCTTAACCCAAAGGCTTATTCATTTAGCATTTTCGTCTTTGACTTTTTGTTGACTTTCGTTGACTTTTTGTTGACTTTTATAAATTGCATCTTTCTCATTTATTTTGCTATTGCTTTATGTTTATGGGTTATTGCTTAGCTTAGACACTTGTTTAGCTTTGTCAATTTCTTTTGGTTTGTTTATTTCATTTGCATTTTAGTTCCTTTTGTTTTTATTTCACTTAGGTTGTTAGTTTAAAACCAATCCTATATTTGCTTAGATTAAGAAATTATGTGTATTCTTAGTGTCTTAGATCTCTAGTTCTCTGTGGATTCGACCCTTAAGTGCTATAAACGATAACCATTAGATTGTGGTTTTTGGACCTTGAGGAAATATTAATTGATAGAAAACCTCCTAATCAATTTGGCGCCGTTGCCGGGGAACTAAGTAGATTTATCATTAGGATTTCAAATTTTCTTGAGACTAAGCTTGTTTCATTTTAGTTTGTTTGGTTACTAACTTTCTTTCAAGTGTTTGTTCTTTTTCAAGATACACTCACAAGGGAGAAAGAAGATGTCTTCCTACATGAATTCTATGTTGAAGCTCATATTGGAAGACCAAGAACGAGGGATAGTTTGGAACCCCACAAGCTATCAAGGAGCTTATGAAACATCCACCTCAAGAGAGTATCAACCGGATGGAAACAATGCTCAAGGGAACCAATGGGGATATGGTAGATATCAATCTTCGGAGATGGACTATGACTATGGAGCACTCTATTCTTCCCCAATCTCTAATGAAGAAGAGAATTACAACTTGTTGAAGTTGATTTTGGAAGAGCAAGAGAAGTATAATGAGAGTCTTCGCATGATTGACACCGAGATAGGTGCTTGGACTCAAGGTTCAAGGGTTTTTGAGACAACACATTTGGAGCCTATCAATACCAACCTTACACGATGGATCGAGGAACAAGAAGAAGAATGCATTCCTCTTAGCGAAACCAAGACAAAAGAGGTGCTTCCCAATGATATTGGAGAAGTTTTTGAGGAAAATGCTCAAATCAAGGATGAATTCCTCCAAGAAGCCAAAGAGTCTATAAGAGAATTTGAATTGCTTCTTGAATGCACGGTTGATGAGAATCTTGTAGTGAGATATGAAAAACAAGTTGAACCCGTGGCAATCTTGAGTTATTCAACCAAGAGCAATGAGAAAAGATTAGGTGTGGTTGGAAAAAGATTTGAAGATCCTTGTGAAGGTGTTTTGGTTTTTGAATACATGGTCCGAAAGCATCTTGGTACAATCTCCACCAATGAAATGAGCATTGATGAACCGAGGAAGGTACTCTTTGAGGAGATTAGGATGAAAAAGTTTAGGGGATGGTACTACGATGAATATGATCCGGGTGATACATGGATTCATCTCACTCTATTCCATAGATTCCTCAAGCTTCTTTCATTACTAGAGGTACCACTCCAAATCCTTGTACATAGTTTTATTTTTCTCGTCTTTTGCATTCTCTATTTCGTTAGTCTTTTTCAACGAGAGAGTTGCCATCAAATCTCTATTACACAAGATTCAATCGAAACATCAAACGAAATATTTCTGGCACACAGGAGATTTTGAAAATTTCACAGACGAATGACGAATACAGAACAAATCAATGAATAATATAAGCTAACTGGAATAAAAAGTACGTTTAATAATCAACTCACCTGTGACGGAGAAACGCCGGGGGAGATGAAGTTTTGATCAGAGAGTGACGATTAACGGCGAATTAGGGTTCTTAAAATGTGAAACTGTATCGTTTATGACGAGAACCGGGAAATTTTCCCGCGGAAATAAAAAACGGTTTAGTAATTATAATGACGGTTTGGTTAACTAATCTCTTAACCGGTTGATTGGTTTTCAAACCATAAATTAATCGGTAAGCCAAAAAGATATGGTCGAATTATCTTAAACCGGCTGATTGGTTCTCTGCCGAAATTTAGAATATTTAAAACTAGCAATGGAGATCCTCTCTTTGATCAAATGAACAGTCTAGTAGTATATGTGCAATTCAATTTAAAGTTGTTCGACAAGCGAAAGAGGATCAAAGAGGAAAATGCGGATGTGCTCGTGGTCGTGATGACGAAAATGTAGAGTGGTTCGTGGAGGTGGATCGAAAAGGAGAAGAAGATGAACTTATTGATGAAGATGGTGATGATTATCCCTTTCACATTGAGTTTGAATCAGAGGATGAACAAGTGTGATTGTTGTGGGTAAGTTTTAAGGAGTAAATCATATTTAGTAAATTATGCTAATGTTTAAATTGCATTTATCTTTATTGACTTTGGATTTAAGTGCTACTAGTTAAAATATCAATCTATTTGTCAATGTTACTGTTAGGTAATAAGAGAGGCGGCGAGGAACTAAATAAGGTTCGACTTTAAACGGAACAAAAGAAAGACTCTAAAGGGTTCCATTTTGAAGGTTCAAAATTCACATTGAAGGACAAAGCACGTAGCTATTTCACTACAAGAAAACAGGTCATTTGCGAGGCAGGTATTCCTCGCAAAAGCGTCGCAAAAGGCAATTTGCATGTCTTATGCGACGAATTAACATTCGTCGCTAACCTCTCGTCGCAAATCATAATTCGTCGCAGTTTCCATGCAAAGTTTGCGACGAAACAAATCCCTCGCAGTTTCCACGCGACAATCAGTCGCAAAATCGACGCTCTGTTTACGATGAATGTGCATCGAATAAGTCCCACGCAAATTTGCGTCGTATTTGCATCGACCTATTCCTCGCAACCGCGTCGCTAGTTAGCAACAAAGAAATTACGATTAAATCTTGAATCCAATTTTAATCCAGTTTCACAAATTAGGATGTTTTGTTTTAATCCGTAATTAAAATTAACACGAAATTAAACTGAAATCAAAAGCAAATAGTAATTAACATTGATTAAAACTGAAATAGTTTGATATTGACAAAAAGTAATGTTGCCGATAGATTTAGGTTTATAATACAACAAAAACCTCAAAATAATGGGATCATGCTTGAGGAGTACCCTGAGCTGTTGCAGCTTCCTCTGTTTGGTCTTGTGGTTCCTCTGTTTGGGCTTCTGCTGCCTGCGTTGGAGGTCTCTGAGCCCTAAGTGCTGCTGCTAGAGCTGGAAAATCTTGTGCTACAATGTCAAAGAGATAATCGTAGCCATGGATCCGTGTAACCAGGTCGTTGTTTCGTTTCCTCTCCGCTTCATAGGTTTGCCGATCGACATAATCATCTGAAGTATGTGGAGGAATAAATGATGAAGCAGATGGGATAACTTGAATAGAACCAACACCATAAATCCGTCCCTTTTTATTCTTTGGAGCAGCCTGGAAAAAACATATGGTGAAGGAAATTTGAATAGATAACAAAACCAGAAAGAGATATGTCAGCAAAACCACATAGCTTTTGACAGAACATTACTTAAAATTCACTTAAACCAGCAATAAACTATTGCACCTCTGATCTTAATAACCAAAATGTTCAATGATATAGATAGATATGATGTTAAAACGATGATGATGATTGAAGAAGACTCAAAGAACTCAAACAAGATTGAAAAATAAATAGGTTATATGTGAATAAGCAAGTAGGTGCATATCTATATACTAAGAGAGTTAAAAAATAGTACCTCCAACAAGATATTGTTCTTCTCAGCTATGGATAGGCCACCAGGCTGGTCAGAGTTTCCTGGAGAGAGCTGAGACTCCCGCTCTGCAATCTTGGCTGAAACTTCTTTGCAAATTTGCTCAGCTAAACCGTCAACGAAAGCTCCATTCTTTCTCTTGTGAGTCTGCTCCATTATCTCAACAATTGGAGGGAGTACACCTCCATTCTTCTCAGCCTACATGAAAGTTAAAATAATAATCATTATCAAGATACTGGAAATATGAAATTAAATGTGAAAAGCAGAAAATACTAACGCTTTCTAATGCACGACGTGCATAAGTCTTCTGACCTGAGGTGTGTCTACTCGGGCCGTGACCGCCCACGCTTGTGTTGCGAGCTTTAGAACACTTACCACTTTTATCTTCTGAATGTGGATCAATCCAAAAAACTTTGAGGCCCTTCCATACCTCTGGATCCAACCACATAGGCATTGCTTTATCACCTAACGTCTTCCACTTACTTTTCCACTTGCTAACTATATCACACAAGCGGATGCCTGCCTTAATTGTAAATTGCCTCTTCACCAAAACGTTAATTGAGTTGTCCCAGTTGTATTGTTGCTGTGAACAAGGAAATAAAATTAATCAATACATGAAGAACACATTACAAACTACTTCAACAAATAAAAAATCAAAACTCTAATCAATTACCGCAAACATATGAAACCAAGTGTCAACAATCTTCTTAGGTGTCTGTGAGATATTGGCGTGTGGTTCAGTGAAGAATCCTTTTATACAATTGGAGACCACTTTCCCAACTTCATTATCGATCTCAAACCTATAGAAAACAACAACAGTTAGTAATTAAATGTTGTCACTGTATTGAAAATACACAGAATATAAGTAAAGACGTTACCATTGTGTTCCTGGGGGACGCTTAGGGTCTAATTTTGTAAGTCCAGCCCGTCCCGGGCTTACAAGAAGCTCCTCGAGTGTCAACTGCCCCATTTCGTAATGCGCTTGAGCTTCAGGTGGGGAAGGAGCCTGAGTAGAAGACTGATCTGTCTCTTGAACTGGAGTGGAATTTGGTGACAAGGATGGGGTCCGTGGCAACTGTGAAGTTGTAGTAGGAGAGGATCGTGTAGTCGAACGAGGAGAGCACCGTGAAGTCGTAGCAGCAGTAGACCGTCCTCCATTACTCTTGTACTGTCTATAATGACCCCTTCCCTCCATCTGCAATTATAAACACCAATAACTATCAAATAATATCTATTATACGTATCCAAAATCAATATTGCAAAACAAACAATCGAGTAATAATGAAACAAGGCATTGAAACCAAAGTAATTAACCAACAACGAAAGTGAAAGCAAATAAATTGAAACATGCCATTGAAACAAAGCAATCAAATCTCTGATCAGCTCTAAGCCTTTACTTGTACCATGAGTGAATGAAACAGCTCACAGAACAAAGCAATAAAATCACCTAGGTAGTAAATTTTGTATATAAGATTCATGAAATAAACATGGAAGAGATATGAAACAACAACACAGAGAAAAAGAAGGCAAGACATAGAGCAGAGAACCATCGACTAACAATCTAAAACAGTAACAAAAGAAGACACATCAAGTTACGACAATACAATAAGTCTGAATCAAGATACAATCAAAAACCTCTTACAAACAACCGATTGACCAGCAAAGAAGCATCAAACGAACATAAATTTCCATCTCTAATATGCATAACATCAGCGATTACAAACCCTAAGTACCAAATAGGCCAAATCGAGGGAAAAAATTGAGTTTAAAAACCCTCATAAACAATTCAACAAACGATCGACTGAAGTAAGAAGCAAAACCCATGTCAAGAAACAACCTTTAGAATAGAGTGTTTTTACAAGGATCGGTAGGGAGTATTCGAGAAGAGGAGAATTGGGGACGAAGATAGTGAGGAGGAATTGAGAATTTGAGACCCAAAGAGAGAAGAAGATACACTGGGAATCAAAGAAAGGAATTAGAGAAGCAGATTCAGAAGAACAAAGAAATTGAGGAGAAATTATCCAACCCAGAGAGATGATGAGAGCGTTTGGGAATCGCAGAGACAAAGAAATAAGAGGAGGAAGTGGAGACGTTTCTTAAACATATTAATTGTTTAGCCTCGCCAATTCCTCGCAAACGTGACGCCAATATTTTGCCGAAATTTTAGCCAACTCTTTAGCGCGTGTTTTCCCGCAATTTTATTGCGACACGCTGACGCTAATTCGTCGCAAATAAAAAAATTAAACGACGAATTCCCAAAAACTCGTCGCAATTTTCATCGCATTGTCTGAAAATTTTAAAACAAATTTTGAAACTTTGCGAGGAATTTACGAGGGTTCGAAGCTAATTCATTGCAATATCCTCGCAAACTATAATAAGATATGTTTTTAATGGAGATTTACTTATTGATATTGATCAAACTAATGTATTTATACTGTACGATATCTCATAATGAATGGTTTTAGTCAAAAAAAAAAAAAATCAAATTTATGTATTTGAGATCTAAGTACTAGATAACATATATGTGAATAAGGAACATCTTCTTATTCAAGATAATTTTTGGAAAGGAAAAAAATTCAAACTTTATTATTCATAATAGAAAGATACAATCATATTAATTCTCACAATCTTCATCATCAGAACCACTATCATATGATTCCGAATCCTCATCAAACTCATCATAGACTTCATCTTCGACTTCCGAATAATCACCAGCTTCTTCTAGTTCTCGATTGTTCTGGTCAATAAGTATGATGCTTTCTAGTGCATGTTCTGGAACATGGATCTCTCCTTGTGTGTTTTGTAATGGTACTTCATCAGAGACTCCAACAATACGTCCTCTAGGTGAAATTTGAATGACAGAGAACCATGATAACCCAGTTTGCCGAATCTTCGGATATGGAATGAAACTAACTTGTTTTGCTTGAGCGGCAAGGATGAAAGGTTCATTTTTAAAACGTTTCTCACCTACCACTATAAAATCGTCTCAAATGCGTCGCAACTTTGCATTGAATCCGTCCATGCAAATTCGTCGCTTATTTGCGTAGCGTTTGCGACGAATTCACTAGTTCCACTCATATTCGTCGCTAAATACACGCAAAAATTGCGACGAACAAGTTCCACGCAAAGTAGCGACGAAATAGCATCGAATGACATTTCGACGCGTTTTCCACGCTCATTACATGCTATATAGCGAGGCATATTGTTCCTCGCAATAGTTCCACGCAAATCACCTGTTTTCTTGTAGTGTTTACTATTGTACAAGTTAGAAACATATATAATAAAGTCAGTCTTAGATTCTGTTTTGTAACACACTTAAAACATGGACCCAAATAAATAACACACATCTCAACAAACCCAAAAACATCAGTCTTCATAAGATAACAAAGTAGAGATTGTTTGGTGTTGAAAAATCCCTTCAACACTTAAATATTCAAAATAAAAAGGAACAAAACGCAGAGTTGTCCATGCTCTCTTACATTAGGATCCTTGGAATCAAACTTAAATAAAAGGATCCTTAAAGAAGGCAATGCTCTCGACGTGTTGATGTGCGATATTGACAAAAGCTTTAGCGTGCTCCCCGAATCCATAAGAGCGCCTAAACTCTTCACTGTCTCCAATTCCTAGGAGCCTAACTCTTCTTATGTTTTTTGTTTCAACATTGTAGTAGAAAATATAGAAGGGTTGAAGATTGACTGACAACAAACTTGGAGCCATGATGATCTCACCAGCCCTATTTGTACCTGGAAAAGACATTCCACCAAGGTCAAAAAAATCCCACACAGAGATAGGAAACACACATTTTTGTTTTGACCATTCATGTTTCTCAACGTCTTCTAGTATCCATAAATCAAAACTAGAGACAGCTCCATAAGTGTTTCCCACAATGGAAGCTAGCTTCCCTTTGTATTCTATGAACACTGCTTCCTTCCCCCATTGGAGGACAACCGGAGGCGCTTTGATAAAACTTAGTTTCTCAGATCTAACATCAAAACACACCATAACTGGATCTCTAGTTTGTGTTAAGCAATACGCACCATAGTAGAGAAAACCGTTGATGCATACATTTGGTGATATCGCCATATAAGGTAAAGTGGTATTTTTAATGTGTCTCCATCCTTGACCATCTCCCAATGTTAATACCTTGTGCTTTAGGTGAGCATTAGGATCCTCCCAAATTATGTTATCCCAGGATAATACTTTGTATTGATCATCAATCGGATCGTAACCAACAAAAATACAGTCACTAGTTAACTTAACGACTTGCTCGGTGCTAGGGTTACACATCATCAACTGACCTTCAGTTTCAACAGTGAGAATGCCATGTAAAGAAGCGCAAGACCCTGAGTAGAAACTAAAGCTCACAGCAGGAAGAGCCATCTCGAAATTGGGTACCAAAGAAGAAGAAGAAGAAGACTCATCTCCCTCGTCGTGTGAAAACGAGAAGAATAAGATAAGCTTCTCCTCAGGCTCACCGAATACAATGTTACATAAACTGACTATAAACCGTGATTGCTTTGCGGACATAGAGAAGAAGGAATCAATGAATCCTCGGCTTCGGATGATGGAAGACCACATCTTTGACACGCATCGAAAATTCTTTAGAGACTTGGCAGACAATCTAGTTAGTATAGCCATCTTTAGATCAAGAGGGAGCGAATCTAATAAGTCTAACTTACTAGGGTTTGTTGTGTCTTTCTCATTCTTGCGTTTCATGGCGTCTCCCAGACGAACCCTAGAGTCGACTCCGAGGTTTGAAAAAAAACTGATTATCTTGCCATTTCATTTTTTTGTACTAAAAGTCTAAAAGCAATCAACAATTTAGAAAATTGGAATAAGTTGCAATAAATAATTTCCAGATCGTGAGATAACAAATCATGGAATAAAAAACTTAACAAAGCAACTCAATGGTTAAGACGTGCTTCAAAAGTTGGGAAACCAAAACCAAACCAAACCGAAGACTTAAACCAAACGAATATTGCGTAAGTATAAACATTCCTTATTTTTTCCGTCAAATTCTACCGACCTCAAAGAACTCACTCGGTGAGATAACAAAGTTCTCGGAGATTGTGCCAAAGAGCAAAAGCGGTTAGAGCGAACTTGATTGATAAATCCCGGTCAATTCTGTATAATGTGAACAAATATGTTTTTCCTTGTTGGCTTTAATTAATTAATGTCCATTTTAAATTTTATAGTAATATTCAATTATTTGTGTAGAAAGTCCTCCATGTTTTGGGAAGCCAAAAAGGAGTGTTTTTTTTTAGCCAAAATGAAGTTGTTGAGCCGTTCGCATGTGCTTATGAAGCTTAGCGACGACCATGCGGCGCCACAAGGTTCATCACCGAACTCAGCAGATCAACCATTTCTTCTTCTAGCTCTTTCCGCTGCTCTGATCTTTCCTTTGAAAATAAAATTTGGAATATGTTGCAAACTAGTACATTTATAAAACATAATAGGATAACTAGTACAGGTCCTATTCAATACTCAAGAAATAGTCGGGTCTCCACTGCTATACAAATACGCGTTCTTTCTGATAGAAAAAGAGTGGGGCCTTGAGGTTGTTGTGGAAATTACGTCTGAGGGCTTCCTTCTTTTTACAGGGAAATGACGAAGCCTCTAGACGAGATGGCGTGTTTTGTTTGTTGGACACATGGGCCAACTGTGATTAACAGGTTTTAGATAGTTTTAAATGGGCCTTAAAATTCTTCCCCAATTTGTCTCCAAAATTAAATAGTACCCGAAGTCAATTATCAAACAAGTCGTCTTCATCAGTGGCGGCGTTGGAGCAGTCAGAAACCCCTGCATTAATGAGAAGTTTATGTCAACGAAATTAGTTGCTAGGTTGGTGTGAGAAATCATATAATACTCAGATTCTCTTTAGATTTTTTTCGAAAGTAGGCAAATTATTTGGAGGGAAATTTATTTTGCCTTTTTTGATGGAAATTTTATTATAAGATAAAAAGAAGAAGATGATTGTCAGTTTCGGTAGGTTTTCTAAGTTCCTGAGGACGTACAGATCAGAGAACAAAGAATGGAAGGTGGAATTCAGTACTGAAACAAATTTCCAAATTTTCCATTAATGTTTCCTACTGTACTGGCCTAGAAACTGATTCTAATTGAATTTCCTTTGCAGTTGATGATATTGTTGTTGTACAGGCTGGAAGATGGATCTTGTTTAGCACAGGTGAATGGGAGTTCAAGATGGATTCTTATCGGCAGGGGAGGGCGTTGAGTTTGATGGGGTTAAAAACTTTCAGGGATTTGGAGCTTAAAGTGAGGCAACTGTACAGAATGGAGAGCAGCTCAATATCAGTAGAGCTTAGCTACATGTTTGAGGACAATTTAGCCCTGTTAGCTGGTGCTCAGCCGGGCCCAACGATGATTCGGTGTGATAGGCAGTTTCGAAGCTTTAAATCTTTAAGCATTGATGATAAATATGTGAACCTGTTCGTGTGTTTTAGAGAAGACGATGGAGTCTTAGTCGGGCCTACCTATGAAGCTCGGAGGATCGGGAGTTGTTTTGCCATGGGTAGGCAAGCTGGAGAATCATCTGCAGGTATTGTAGAGGCTGGAGGTAGTTCAAGAGCGACAGAGGGAGTAGGATTTTTTGCTGGACTCTTATCTTCAGTTCAAGACAATAACAGTATGTATCCTCCAGTTCAAGGCAATAACTCCCAGTTAGCAATCGCCCAGAGTACAGATGTTACTGACAGCTCCGGTGGGTGGGACATAAGCGATGAAATACTGTTAGAAGCCGTAGAAGCTGTGGAGAAGGCGTCTAAAACAGATTTGGTTGTTTACACAGGTCTAACCACATCTGTAGCAGTGGAAGATGGAATGGAGAGCAGTGGGGATGAAGAGTGTTCAGAAAACTCCGATGATTCTTATTCTTACAGTGGAGGGAGTCAATCAGAAGATGATGATTACGATTACGAGTACAACACGGTAGGTAGGGTTGAAGCTGGTAGAGAAATTGTGGCAGATAAAGACAGTGGGGATGATGATTTTGTTGAGCAGCCCCCGAAAAAGAAAGTCAGACAGAAAGAGAAAGGGAAAGGAATTGAAGAAAGGACTGACAATCTTGCATGTGTAGGAGGTGTTATGACAGAGTTTCTTCACACTCTTCAGAAGGGGATAAGAATTGATGAAGTTTATGGTTATGAGGACATTGAGCCAATGTTTGGAGACGATGATATGGATAGAAAATCAGCTCATGTTGACTTGAGCAAAGAGGATAACAATATGTATGCATTGTCAATATATGCTATAAACCGTGTATTCCGCTTCAAATTTACTAGGTATGAGAAAAAGTACTTGGTAGCTGAATGTTATGATAAAAAATGCTGTGACTGGAGAGTTGTAGCACACCAAGTTGGACAGAGTGAAGAATACGAGGTGACGAAGGCCAAGTTGGAACATATGTGTAATGTTGAGGCTAGGAGTAGGTTTTCAAAACATGCAACTTCCAAGGTTGTAGCCGCACTCCTAAGGGCTAAGTATGCGAAGGCGTTTTGTGGTCCAAGAGCAAGAGACTTACCCGATTCTCTGCTGAGGGAGCACAATGTTAGGATGTCGTATTGGAAAGGTTGGAAAGCTAAAGAGCTGGCTGTTGAAACAGCTCAGGGCACAGATGAGAGTTCTTTCACCTTGTTGCCGGTATATCTCCATGTCTTACAACTTGCAAACCCTGGGACAGTTTATCATTTGGAAACAGAGTTGGATGAAACTGGGGATGAGCGATTCAAGTATGTGTTTCTAGTTTTAGGTGCATGTCTTAAAGGGTTAAAATATATACGGCGAGTCGTTGTAGTAGATGGCACCCACCTGTTTGGGAAATATCTTGGCTGTCTTCTTACAGCAAGTTGCCAGGATGCGAACTTTCAGATTTATCCAGTGGCCTTTGCTATAGTGGACAGCGAGACAGATGAATCATGGACTTGGTTCATGAGTAAGCTTTCAGAAATAATTAAAGATGGACCAGACTTGACCTTTGTCTCAGATCGGAATTCATCAATAATCAAATCTGTCGGACTTGTCTACCCTGAAGCACATCATGGAGCTTGCTTAGTCCACATAAGAAGGAATGTTAAAGGAAAGTATGGAAGGAAGAGTGGGCTTCCAGCCCTAGTATGGCAAGCAGGTAACAAGTTTCGTCTCAAAGAGTTTAATGTTGTTTGTCAAAGAATCAAGAGAAGGAATAAGGGGTGTTGGGAATATTTGGAAGCAATTGGGGTTTCGAATTGGAGTAGGGTTCATTTTTCAGGGGAGAGGTATAATTTGATGTCTAGTAACATTGATGAGTCATAGAACAATGCTTTACTACCAGCTAGGAGTAGTCTTGTTGTAGCATTGCTTGAATTTATAAAGAAAATGCTCGGGAGGTGGTTTGAATCGCGTCAGAAGAAAATCGCTAGAACTGTCGGAGACATTCCAATTGCTGTTGAAAGGGAGCTGCTGAAACGTTTCAAAGGTGGTTTGGGGATGACAGTTTTGGCTGTTGGTAGGTGGGATTTTGAAGTAGTCGCAAAGGATGGGGAACAGTTTCTCGTCTCCTTGGAACAACAGACTTGCTCTTGCTTGGAGTTTCAAAAAATTAGAATTCCATGTGTTCATGCGATGGCTGCAGCTCATGATAGGGCTTTGGAATTCAGAACGTTGGTTGGAGAGATGCATAGGCTGGAAATGTGGTCACCAACGGTCCAAGAATCTATCCTCCCAGTACGCGATCCATCTGAGGTGGATGTTCCTGAGGAAATAAGACTTCTATGTTTAATGCCTGCGAAAACAAAAAGACCCCCGGGGAGACCCCCAAAGCTGCGGATACATTCAGTTGGGGAATATGAAGTTAGTAAATTTGAATTTATTCCACAGGTTCGGTGATAACTCAAGTGTAACAATTCATCTTAACCAATGTAGGGGAATAATAAGTCAAAACAGCCTAACAAGTGTGGAAGATGTGGAGGTGTAGGTCACAATCGGGTTACGTGTACCAACCCACTTGGTTGACGCTATGGAATGTAAGAAAGATGTGTAATGCCTTTTTGGGAGTTTGTCTTATCAATGGAGGAGGATTTTGGCAGGGGTCGTTTTTTGGTATGTTAAAATGTATTATTTTCGGAATGGGTAGACATTCATATGAAATATGTTGGGAGACAAATTTCAGATAAATGTCTCCTTATAGGTATGTAAATATTATTAAAACTTGTTCTGAAGTGGGAAGAATTAGTGATGTCTATGTATGGCCAAGTTTTATTTGTTGAACTTAATATTTTGGCTAAGAAGTTGATCTTTTTAAATCACAAGCTATTGCTGTACGGATCGTTAAGCCCATTGTACAGATGTAATAGTTCAGCTCTGTCTGTTCAGCAAACATACACACGTCTCTGTACAGTTCAACGATCAAGCTGTCTTCAGTGTACGTCTACTTGAAAGATATTTCTGTACTTTTACTGTACAGCCGTAGTTGTTGGAGTGCTGTACAGATAATTTGCTGTACAGTCGTTACTAGAGTTGGTACTGTAAAAAATACGTTTAGTTTTGTCGTATAATGCTCCAAACCATGGTTGCATGTAAATTAGTAATGTTCAGAATCACGTGTTTGCGTCTCTTTATTTCAATTGGGAGAATCAATCAAATTAATTCTACGTAATTAATTTCACATGCTTAATTTTTCTGCAAAACAATTTTCTATAAGTAAATAAATTGGTAGGTGTTTGCACATATTGAGACAAAGCAATCAGGAGTAACGTGATTGTGTAGATTCCCTATAAGTAAATGAACCTCTATCATTTTCCCTCGCATTCTTTTCGGATCTAATGTGCACAACGATGCCAAATTTTTTTTATTAATTTATTGTAAATCCGTCAATAAATGTTACAGCTTCACCACGTGCACTGGGATTAGAATGATCTTTATTTAAAACGTGACCCCAAGGTACGTATGAGAAAGCTTTAGAAAAATGTACATCAAACATAAAGAATAGAAACATAATAATGGAAGCAGCAAGAATGGGTTTTGGTGCTAAAACTCTCCCCCACCCCTTGGCTACGGTACTCGTCTTCCTCTTAAGACCAAACTCTTCCTCTTTCCCGAAGATCAACAAAACACAACTTATGTGTCAAGGCTTCTAGTAAAACTAGTGGTGATGTTGAGAGTAGTCGTCCCTTGCCTCATGTTGCTCCCAATCTTTGGGGAGATCTCATCCTCTCAGTCCGGCCACCGATAACTCGGTAAGTACCTGATAAGATGAATGTGTTTCATAATCAGGCTCGGCTCAAAAATAAATGGGACCTTGTGCCCAATTAAAAAAAAGGTTTATATCTTACACATATGTTTAGATTTGGACCCTTCTTATATAATTTTCAAGAAAATAGGATCCTAATTACTTTAAAAAATGACTAAAAAAAAGTGGACCCTGTGCAAATGCACTGTTGGCACACCCTCTAAACCGGCCCTGTTCATAATCACTCTTTTTTTGCAGAACATGATTCTTGATCACTGATATTTTGTAGGAATTTGACTCACCAGAGACAGATTGAATCAATTATAAAGACGAAAGTGAGAAATATGCTAATGTCCTCTCACGACACCGATGAAGAGAATATGTCTCATCCACTTGCTTATCTGTCTTGGTAAAAACCTCGGTTTTTTTATGTTAGAAATAGAAGCTGCCAGTGAATATCTTTCTTTCTATGAAAAAGAGAGTCATGATGAGACTCAACTTAAACTTTTGCCAGCTCCATTACGTTAGAGAGCTAAAAACTCTCACTAAGTACGTTGGCCTAGTTTTATTTATTTTTCCCGCGTTTTATATGTATTTTTAGTTTTTAGTTTTTATAGCTAAAACCAATAAACTTCTAATTTAAAATCAATTGATAATAAATAGATGCAGTTACATTTATTTATTGACCTATCTCCAAAAATTACCATGTCATTGTTTGTATTTATACGCAAATAATTAGTTACTCCCTCTATTTAGCAAATGTCGTTTTAAGGTTTTAATTTTGTTTTACAAAAAGTGCGTCGCTTTATGTTTTCCAATGCAATTTAATTTCATGACCCTTTTTTTTTTTTTTTTTTTTTTTTTTTTTGTAAACCACAATTTAATTTCATGACTAAATCTATTTTCTATCCCTACTATTTTAGCTTATTAATTAGAGAGAGAGTACTATCTAGTGTATTAACAAATAATAAAAATGAAATTTTTTTAATTTCTTAATTTATATGAAAAATATTAGAATGACACTTTTTATGAAACAGAAGGAGTTTTAGCAAGGAAAAAGATATTTGGCAGCAACAAACAAGTGGAGAGGTTATTTTTCACAAGTAGTCAAGTCTTCAAAGCGGTAGAGGATGGAAGAACAAAGAGGTGATGAGGTCTTTGATCTTTCTGCGGGGATTGGTGTATCCATCACCCTCTGTGTAATACAACTTGATCAATCGTACCATGTTGAGGCACCGTACCAGAACTGGATGTGGCACACATTTTGTCGTCAAGAACTCCTCCATCACTGTCTTATGATTATCTCTAATCATCTTCTTAATTTCGCTAACCGCCAATTCTTTGGTAACACCATGTTGCTTCATGTAACAGTTGACCCCATTAGCCACCTCTCCTCTCCTCATTTCATCCTCGTAACTGTCAATGTCGTTTTCAAGATGGAATAAAACATAACAAGCTTGTAAGATTTTGGGTTTGGATTTGAACCACTCGGTCGTTTGATTTTAAATCTTATCTTACTTCAGCTTCAGCTAGCTACAAAAAAACAGATAATTAACGACTACACAAATAGTCACTAAGTAGTCGTAAATCCACAATATGCGACTAATATACGACTAATGGGTGTAGTCGTATATCCATAGTCGCTAAATCAGTTAGTCGTTAAATTAGTCGTAATTTAACGACTACATTACGACAATATATCATGAAAGCCAAAATAGTCGTAAAAATAGAATGACTAATATACAACTTAACTACGATTAAACCGCATTGATTATTGGTTTTCTAATTGCAATCGTATCGTAGTCGTATAATTTAATTGACTATTATACGACTACTTTGCGACTAATTCAACGACTACACTATATAGTGACGTTTTAGTCGTTTAATTATACGACTAATATGCGACTATTAAGCGACTAATTATACGACTAATATACGACTAATTTGCGACTAATAAGTTGAAAGAACTAAAATTTGGTAATACCCGATTCTGGTTCTGGCTCTGATTGTTGTTGGTTTTAATTTGTTTCTGATTGTCCTAATCGTAAATCTATTTGCAATCAAAATTAACTTAATAAACAAAAACTTAATAATCAAAATAACATTACATAACTAAGTACCTAATGTTACAAAATAGTATCTCCACTCCGCCGCATCTGAAGGATGATTCATTTCTCCCTCCTTTGATTGGTGCTCGGCATGCCATCGCATTGCAGCTGCTGTCTTGTGGCTCTGATACATTCTCTTCAATCGGTCACCAATAGGTAGATACCACATACGACTATATGGTACTTTGGTTCTTCGACGATCGTCCTTAGGCTTCCATCTATGTGAACCACAAAATCGACATTGATCTTCTTTTTCGTCTTCTTTCCAGAAAAGCATACAATTGTTAACATAAACATCAATTGTATGATACGGAAGACCTAAATTGCGCATCAATTTCTCGGTCTAGTAATGTGAACCCGTTGCCTGGTTTCCTTCTGGTAAAAAATCTGTTAACATTTCGTAAACCGAATCCACACACTTTTCACTCATATTATATTCCACCTTATTTTGCATAAGTCGAGCAACTAACGATAACTGCGATTGACCTTCACGACAACCATCGTATAATGGATTTTGTGCACCTTCTAACAAGTTGTAGAATTTCTTTGAATGGTTACGTACTGGTTCTTCCACATTCTGATAACTACCATCCTGATGAAAGTTATCATCATACCCCACATTATAACGAAATGCATCGTTTACCATATCAACATATGGATCTTCTACAACATTACCCACGTCTTCATGATTCTCACTTAGATACGTCCTATCAATATAACTCGTTCCTATATCCATATTCATTTCTTCCCCATGTCTATACCAAACATAGTAATCTGGCATAAATCATTGACTAAACAAATGACTACTAACTCTTCTACCCGAGACAATATGTTTTTCATTCTTGCACACACTACAAGGACAGTGAAATTTACCCCGATTACTCTGGACGATAGGCTAGCTATTAGCAAACGTCATGAATTCCTCCACCCTTGCTACGTATTCAGCGATCAAATTCCTGGTCACTTCATCAAATCTCTTGTACATCCACTCCCGAGAATAACCACCATTACTGCCATAATTATAATTTCCCGCCATTACAAAATATATATATCTTTTCTTGATTTTTTTTTCTATAAACCTTTTTTTTTTTCGTATGATTGTAGAGAGATGAAGAAGAATTGAAGAGAGATGAAGAAGAGATGATGAATGAGATAGCACTCGTGATGGTTTCTTTATATAGGCAATTATTATGCGACTATTTGACGACTACATATGGTAGTCGTATAAAAACAGGTACACCTACCCAGAAACAAAAAACACGTGTTTGCCGACAACAAAATACGACTAATTGGCAACGACTATACGACTCGCCGAATATAGTCGTATAATAGTCGCCAAATTAGCGACTATACCAACTAGTCGGATATTTAGTCGTACAATTAGCGACTATTATACGACTCTCTTTTTCTTTCGACTAAATAGTCGGTAAATAGTCGTATTTTAGCGACTACATACCTGACTACATGTTTTGGTCGCCATATAGCGACTAAATAACGACTATATCGAGTTAGTCGTTATTTAGTCGTAAAAGAGTCACTAAATAGTTGCCGAAATAGGTAGTCGTCTCTTGTAGTCGGTATTATCTTGTTTTCTTGTTTTCTAGCTATATGATTCTTAACATGTTTCTTAGAGATATCGGCACTTATTAATTTAGTATTGTTTTACGATTTAAGCTTCTTAACATTCTCTGTTTAATATGTTTATGTGGTTACAGAAGGTGGAAGGAAATTGGTCTTGCATATAAGCTACCTTTGACATGCTTCTGGACACCTTCGCCAGTGTCATAGCGTTGTTTTTCGAGCCACGCTATTCATTGGGGAAAATTATAACCACTAAAGCTTGCCAAGTTACAATAGTTATGGATGATGCATGCGGTGCATATGGAACTTTCTCTGAAATTAAAAGATTCATCGATTCTTTGCAAAGGTAGTTAGTATATGTATATCACGTACTTATGTATGTATCACTGGTCGTATAATGATGTCGAGTTTACAGAATACATATATATGCATGCATGAGAAAATTTGTATGTGGGATTTAGGTACCATTGAAGAACTTAGAACTACCAAGTAGTTTGAGAATCATCAGCCGAAGTATAATGGAAACTGTGGAAGATATTGAAAGAGAAATGAAGCCGCAAAGAATATCCTGTAGTGTGCAATACTTGATAGAAGAGGTATATCAACCAATTTAGGTTCTATTTTCGCTCAATGTCTACTTAACTATGCTTGTGTGTTATGTTGATAATTGTGCAGCTTAAGATCTATGGGGAAGTGTACGTAGAGTTATCAAAATGGGCCGATCAAGTCACCTTCCAACCTTTGATGACTACATTGAAGTTGGGATTGTCTCATCAGCGATGAGATTCTTGGGAATGTTAAGCGTTGTAGCGCTGGAAGATTGCGATGAAAATCAAACGACCGAGTGGTTCGAATCAAAACCCAAAATCTTATAAGCTTATTGTCTTTTATACCGTCTTGAAAATGACATAGGCAACTAGGATGAGATGAGAAGAGGTGGCTAATGGGGTGAACTGTTACATGAAGCAATATGGTGTTACCAAAGAATTGGCGGTTAGAGAAATTAAGAAGATGATTAGAGATGATTATAAGATGTGATGGAGGAGTTCTTGACGATAAAATGTGTGTCACGTCCAGTTCTTGTTCGATGCCTCAACATGCTACGATTGATAAAATTGTATTACGCGGAGGGTGAAGGATTCACCAATCCCCACGGAAAGCTCAAAAACCTCATCAGCTCTTTGTTCTTCCATCCTCTTCCGCTCTGAAGACTTGGCTCCTTGCCAAAAACAATCCTCTACACTTATTTGTTGCCTCCAAATATCTCTTAATAAACGATTAACTATGGACATTGCTGAACCTTATAGACAACATAACGCTTCCCAAACCACTATTGTAGTTTTGAAAATTATGTGTTGAGTCTTTCACCAAGTGTTTCTGATCTTGTGATAAAGCTCTAACCTTTATGTTTGTTTGCTGTAGTTTGTTATGCAAGAAAGAAACAAGACACGAGATTTACGAGTTCCCAAGACCAAATCAGTCAAGGTACGTCTCGGAGAGCTTCAACCAGCTCTCAAGGCACTCTTATCTTTTACCGAACAGTACAAGCTCTCTATGTCACACCACTCTCACCCTTTACAGAAAGAAAACCCACACCAAAGAGTTTCACACAAGAAGACACTCAAGAGTAAAACTCTCAAACCCTTGTTTCTCACAACTCTCTCTCTAGACTTTCTCTCTCAATAATGACTGAATGGCTTATCCTCTAAGCTTGATGACACTGTCCTTTTATAAGCTGAGCCTTCGCCGTTCTTGCAGGTGCTACCCGACAACACTGTACGACCAGTGACCATCAAAACACCAAAACGCTCTCACATCTGCCGTTTCTTGTTCCTGGGCTCAAGTTGCTTAGCAGACTCCGACTGGGCCTTGACCGGCCCATTCATTTCAACTCAGCCCACCTGTCTAAAGACAATCACCTGAAACGACAATCTCCATCTTGATTGCTTTAGACAGAACAACCGGAGAATTTACCTCCTCCAGTCAGATTCTCCGACATCCCTGTGCCGGAGCTTTAGCTCCTTCGAGCTAATGGTGGTGCCTAAGCACCTTCAAGTTACTCAACCCATCTTCAAATTTCTTCACCGGAACTGATTTAGTGAGTATATCAACCGGATTTTCTTTGGTGTTTATCTTCGAGACCTTTAGAGTACCTTCCTCGATTTCATCTCTGATGAAGTGAAACCGAGTGTCGATGTGCTTGGTCCGTTCGTGGTGAACGTTGTTCTTCGCTAAGCAGATAGCGCTTCGAGAGTCAGAGAAGATTTCAGCTTCATCTTGTGGGAATCCAAGCTCATCGGTGATTCTCATCAACCACAGTGCTTCTTTCGCAGCTTCAGCCAGTGCCATATATTCTGCTTCTGTCGTAGACAAAGCAACAACTTGTTGAAGACCAGATCTCCAACTAACTGTGTTCTCTCCCACTTGAAACACATATCCGGTAATTGATCTTCTCCTGTCTAGATCCGCTGCGTGATCACTGTCACAATAGCCTCTTACCTTGAATTCTTTTGACTTTGTGAAAGTAAGCTTGAGATCAGCTGAATTTCTGATGTATCTCAGTACCCATTTCACTGTAGACCAGTGTTCTTTTCCCGGACAACTCATGAATCGACTTATCAGGCCTACTGCGTATGCGATGTCTGGTCGTGTCCCAACCATGGAGTACATCAAGCTCCCAACAGCACTCGCATACGGTATGTCTTGCATTTCAGCTTCACATTCAGCTTTGTCATCTGGTCTCGTGCTGTATAGTTTGAAGTGAGATCCCATTGGAGTCTGCACTGGTCTGCTATCTAGCATGTTAAAGTTCCTTAACACCTTTTCCAGATACTCTTGTTGAGATAGCTATAGAATGCCTTTAGTTCTGTCCCTGGTGATGTCAATTCCCAGAATTCTCCTTGCCTTACCCATGTCTTTCATCTCAAACTCCTCACTCAAAACTTTCTTTAACCTTACTATCTCCTCCATGTCCTTGGCAGCAACCAACATATCATCTACATATAACAGTAAGTAGACGTAGTTTCCTTCACTTAGCCATTTGAAATACATACAGGGATCAAATTTGCTCCTGGTGTATTTCTGAGATTTCATGAACTGGTTGAATCTCAGGTTCCATTGTCTTGGTGCCTGTTTCAGACCATATAGAGATTTTTTCAGCAAGCATACCTGGTCTCCTTTGCCAAAACCCTCTGGTTGTTCCATGTAGATTTCTTCTTCTAGATTCCCATGTAGAAAAGCTGTCTTAACATCCAACTGTTCTAGCTCTAGGTCTTGATAGACCACCATAGATAGCATCAGTCTTATGGTAATGTGTTTCACCACTGGTGCAAACACCTCATGATAGTCAATCCCTTCTATTTGAGAAAAACCCTTTGCAACCAGTCTAGCCTTGAATCTTGGATTTTCAACATCTGGTATACCATGCTTTATCTTGAATATCCACTTGCATCCAATGACCTTTCTGTGTTTTGGTCTTTCTACCAGATCCCAGGTATGATTCTTGTTCAATGACTCCATCTCATCACCTGCTGCTGACTTCCATTTATCTCCATCTCTGCAGTTCATTGCTTCTTGAAAGTTTTGGGGTTCTTCCAGATCAATGACATGTGACATTGTTAGAGCATACTCAGCCACATTTCCATGGTCATACCTGCTAGGCGGTTTGATGTTTGACCTTCGACTTCTGTCCCTTGCTAGCAGGTAGTTATCCAACTCATGTGGAGAGTCATCATCAGAAATTGCCCCTTCATCAACCGTTTCAGGCTCATTCTCAGCTCCATCTTCAGTCTCCACTGATGGGCTATGATTTTGATGAGAGGTTTCCCCTGGACTGTCTAATGTAGCTCCATCTGCAGTGTTACCAGGTAACTCAAAGGTTACTTTCTTCCCTTCCATCTTTGATACTTCTTTCTCTGTATCTGACATCTTTCCTATGTCCTTGTACAAAATATCTTCTCTGAACGTCACATCTCGACTTACTATGCACTTCTTGTCTTCAATACTCCAAATTCTGTATCCTTTTACTCCTTGTGGATATCCCATAAACACTCCCCTCTTAGCTCTTGGTTTTAACTTACCCTGCTCAACATGATAGTATGCTAAGCACCCAAATCTTTTCATGTGGCTGTAATCAGGTTCTCTTCCTGCATAGACTTGTTCAGGTATTTGAAATCCCAAAGGAGCAGATGGAGTTCTATTCAGGATGTAGACAACAGTAGATGAAGCTTCAGCCCAAAATGATTCACCTAGACCAGTTTCACTCAGCAAGCTTCTTACCTTCTCAAGAATGGTCCTGTTCAGCCTTTCTGCCACGCCATTTTGCTGGGGAGTATAAGGACATGTTTTGTGTCTTATAATCCCTCTTTCTTTGCAGTAGTCATCAAAGGTTTTGTTGCAGTATTCCAAGCCATTGTCGGTCCTTAGAACTTTTAGTCTTTTACCACTCTGATTTTCAACTAATGCTAGCCACTCAACAAATTTCGTGTAGGCTTCA